ATGCTCCCTTTTCCGACTGATGATTTAAAAATTGCTATCTGATTTTCAGCACAAGCTTTGGCAGTCCAGAATGACTATACCTATTTGGTATAGGCCACAAATCCAACAGATGTTGCTGACATACCACTCAGGCTGTTCTGTAGAGAAAGGCAAAAGAAAGAGGACTCTCCTCTTGACATGTTCAATCAGAAAAGGTATTGGACATAGAATATGTAGCATTGTGGCCAAGGTATTTCTTCACACTGCAGTTTGGGAATATATTTTTCTTCTTCAGGCTGAACACTTTGAAATCTCCAACCAGTTTAATGTCATCATTACCACTAGACTTAAAAGCTGCTACTACGTCTTTCTTGTCCTTAGCAAAAATATAGAAGCAGTTTAAAGGCACCATGTTATTGCTGTAGCTGCCTGGTTGGTTATGCTGGCACTGATCATTAGTGTCCTGGCAGTAAGTAATAACCCACTGAAAGAGAATTTTGTTTCAGAAGAGTCACCAGCATGGGATGGCATAAATACTGCCCTTTGGTTTCTATTTCCCAGAACTCCCACCTGCAGAAGGGGGACTCCCAGGAATCCTGTTAAAATGGCTTTGTAGCTCTTTTGATATCAGCAGAGAGATGTCATTCAGCCCTACAGTCATGGATTAAACTAATTCAGATTAGAGGCTAAAGACCACAGCGATGCGTATGTAGCAAGCTAGCTTTGATACTGGTAGTGGTCTCATCACAGTAGCATGGCAGCCCACATGAACTCATTTCCTCCAGAAGTGGTGAAGAGAGGCCACTCTATGCTCTATAACACTGTGACTAAACTATGCCTGCTCCCTCTTGGGCTGCCCTAGAGCTAGCACAGCATATCTCCATGCTAATCTAAAGTCTGCAAAATTTGAAGCTGAAAAGGATGACTATAATCAAGTATGAACCTACTCTTACCTAGCACTGCTGAGGAATATGCCCAGTAAAATTTTCTAGCCCAAGGCCAAAAACATGATACCTCTTTTTTTCCTTCCCCCCCTCTTTTATGGGTTTAAGAGACATTGCCTCCAACAATCCCATATGCATTAGAGAAGGAAGAAAACACAACAGGTAGTGTATTGCTTGAGGATTATGGCACTACAGGTGTGCATGCTTAGACACAGGGAGCTGAAAAGAGTATGACAGGCATGACTACAGCAAGAAAGCTAGAAATTACACTGCTCATGATTAGTGTGAATCCCTATTGTGAGGCAGAAATTATGCTAAATACAGACAGAGGATAGGGAGAATAGAGTTGGTTTACACAAAGATTTTTACTTGCAGCTAGTGACTCTGGGCTGATGTGATGGAGAAAGTCAGTGGACCAGATAATCAAAATTCAGAGCAGAAAAAAAAAATCTTAATAATAATCCTAATTAATAATCCATTTATTTTACCTGTCAGGTAGCAAAATGGCAATGTAATCTGCTAGGCAAATTGTTCTGTACTCTGAAAACAGAAGTTTTTGGTATTGAATGCAAGCCAAAATCAGCTGTCAGCTACAGTGGTATAAATTCCAAAACACCTCTGGAGAGATGAGCCCATGTACTTCTGGTTTATATTAATACAAATTTGACCGCAGGCAAAATGCCAACTTGAATTAATAGTTTTGAAGAGTAGCCATCCAAAAAAAGTTGCCACTGGAATTCAAAGCAATTTGGGAAAATAACATGCCATTCACCGATCTCTTTACATGATTTAAGGTAAAATTGTACCACTATGGAAAGTAAGATCTGTTCTTAATGGATGTCAAAACCCTCCTCTACTGTCTTTCAACAAATGGAACAGATGGTTTCTGTTTTAAAATCAGTGCTTCTCTGATAAAGTCAATGGGTAAATCCCAGTTTGCAGTAGCTGAGAGCCTAGATAGATTGCAGATCTTTCTGGCTCTCTTTGAACACAAATGTTCAGTGGAGCACCTCCCATATGAAGACAGGCTGAGAAAGTTGGGGCTGTTCAGCCTGGAGAAGAAGGCTGCGTGGAGACCTCATAGCAGCCTTCCAGTATCTGAAGGGGGGCTATAAAGATGCTGGGGATGAACAATTCGTTAGGGACTGTAACAATAGGACAAGGGGTAATGGGTTCAAACTTAAAAAGGGGAAGTTTAGATCGGATATAAGGAAGAAGTTCTTTACTGTAAGGGTAGTGAGGCACAGGATACCCAAGGAAGTTGTGAATGCTCCGTCCCTGTCAGTGTGCAAGGCCAGGTTGGAAAGAACCTTGTGTGACGTGGTTTAGTGTGAGGCGTCCCTGCCCATGGTAGGGGTGTTGGAACTAGATGATCTTAAAGTCCTTTCCAACTCTAACTATTATACGATTCTATGTTGTTGCTGATCACCTGACGATATTAGTAACATTTATATTTTATACACTGGTGTGTTCACAGAATCAAAAAAGAGCAGAATATTTTTTGTATTTACAAACTACTCAACTAGTACAGGGTCACAGACCAAATGTAGGCCCTGTTCCATTTTCTGCATTACACTCCTTTCAGAGGATCCAGGTAAGAGGCAATCTAGAAAGTCTTTCTGGTGGGACATGATTTTAATCTTTGGACCAATCTGTTACACTATCACATCTTAGTTTCAGCTTATTCTGTGTGTTCATCTCAGCTGTGGTGTGCAGGGTCAGGCATCTTCTCAGTTTTTTATCAACTCTCTCACTGCCCTAATGAGCAAATCTGAAGAAGGTCCCTTAACTTTCATATGTTCAGGCTTCTTTTCTTATGTCTTCCTAGAGTAACGTGATTGTAAGATGTTATTCCTGTTATTCCCTGTCGATGCATCTTTCATTCAGTACCAGAAATGGGATTGTGATTTAAGTTTGGACCTTTAAGTGTGACATTAATGGTGACAGGCAGTAGCTCCTTGTTGTGGCTATGCAATGAGGAATTTAGGAGCTTTGCAGTATTATTCAGGGCAGCTGGATCAAGTCCTATAATATTACACTGAATAATTTAGCAGCTGCTACTGACCTAGATCTCTTCACAAATTCTGCTCCAACATCCATGACTATGTGTGAGAAAGTAAATGTTTTCCATCTCCTTTTTTTTTTATTTTTACTTTAAAAGCTCACCTGATCCAGCAGCCCTCTCAATCAGCTAAAAAGCCTTCAACCTAGTTCATTCTCATTTTACCTCTCTTTTTTGGGAAACTTTCTTTCTATCTTCCAAAGCTCAGCAAGTGGCAGTGCTCATCTGGGATATACTGTATGTTATAAAAAGTGCAGCTCTTAGAAGCTTGAGCAGCCAAACATCCTGGTGAGAGAAAAGGAGGGATGATCTTAACTGGTCTCTGGGTTCAGTCTGGAAGGACTCCCAACATCACTGTGAGCTGTGTACAGCTGGCTAAATTCTTCCTTTGTGGGGAATGTATATGCTGGTTTAAGCTTTTTTAAAAGTGTTTTCACAGTAGCTTGTAGGAAAACAGAACTGTCCTTACTAAGGAAGGATTTGGAAGGTGGAAGAGAGCAGTTGTGTCCACACTATGTAGTGAAGGAGAATTGCTCCATGTCCTTTCTCACTAACTTTAGACCAGCAAGCAGTCTTGCAGTATTAACATGGATGAATACAGAAGCCAAGCAAGGCTGCTCATTTACCTCTTTAAGTAGCTTGGCTCTTTCTGGAGTCAGAGGTGTCTCTGAATAACATTGCAGTGCACAGTGGATATGCAGCAGCTTGCACAGGTGTATACTGGGTTTCTCTGACATGGTGCTGCATCGCAATGTGCACGTAAGCGTTGCCTCTGCAAACACTGAAATCAGTCCTAGAGCTAGCATAATGTGAACACATCCTTCAGTGACAAATAATTGGTCCTTACCATTCAACATAGGTTACATTTGCCTGTAGATTTCTGCAATAGCTAGTGATACTTGGAATAGTTCGAACTTTTGCTAACAGAAGTGCTGAAACTGAAGGAGATAGGAGGGGTTTTTATGATGATTTTCAAAACAGACTAAACAAAGGACCCTTTGCTCAAGTTGTGGTGCTGTCAGTGTTCATTTTCTCCTTGGAGACAATAATAAAGTAAAAGATTTGTTAGGAAAGCTTTTTAACTCTATAGTGTCACTGTGATTCCACGTATTTTGGTTGCTGATGTATCAAAAGAGCTTCAAAAGTTCATAGATTTCTTTCCTCCCTGCTGCTTAATTCCCAGAAAAGTAAGCTTGAAGGGATTTTTTCAGAAGAGGTTCTATTCCTTTCAAATTTTATATATATATACACGTGTGTGTGTGTGTGTGTGTGTATATATATATTTACTTCTTTTTCCCTGTAGTCATTTGTGGAAGGATTAAAATGCATATTGGATTCCTTGTTTTCTGTTTTCTTGTGCAATTAGTTTTGTTATGGTACTGCTATTTATCAGAAGTCACAATGATTTTTTTGATACAAAGACTGAAAGAGAAGCTTGGTATTCATTTTTATATGAAATATATTTACTTCTTCAAATACATGAGATTAGATACAAAGTAAAAATTTTTTTTCTGCATAATCATTTACAATATATCTTTTCTTGTGTTGTATATAAATTAAATGAGTCTGGGCCTCTAAATGTTTGAAATTAAGCTGTAATTCTCACAGTTGTCTCTGTCTTCTGCATTGTCTGTTGCATGTTGATGAAAAGGAATAGTAAAATCCACCAATGTTAGTTTAATAGAAGAGTGCAAGACCTGCATGCCCTCTGGTGGAAGTGATCCTTAACAGACTATTGTATATCAGCTTTTGTGGCAGACACACTGTCCTTGATAAACTTCGTTAATTATATTTCTCCATAGCAGAGTTTGTTACCTAATAGAAAGGAAAGCTCTTCCAGTGCATTGTTTTTCTCACATTTTTACAGTTTGAACTCTTTCATTTCTCTTCAACCTCTTTCTTGACTTTCTAACCTTGTTACTTCACTGTAATAGTTATAGGTTGTGTGTAAAGGTATTGAATGGTATCTCATTATTGACACAAGTTTTATACATAGAAATTTGCTCTGCTTTTAGGGAGTTTACAGGTCCGATACAAGCTGAGTAAGGATGGGCTCCTCATTTTCACCATTAACTCTGGAAATTTTGCCAATCGAGAGCTGCACCATGTGAAGATTAACAGAGAAGGCAGAGAGCTTGTTGTTCAGGTATGCCATGGTTTATGTTGAGTGTTAAATAATACTTCATGCCACAAACAGACCCACTGATTTCAGTGCCTGATCACCAGCAGGAGGCAACGGTTTCGCATTCTTCTGGTTCAGCAGCAGAATAGCCCTGTAGGTTAGACCAAAGCTCCACCCACACGCTGCTTCAAAGAGTGCCCAACTGTAGTTTTTTTCCTGCGAGTAATCCTTCCCTTGTCTGTGACGATATGTGAATTGTCATGAAACACTTTTGGCCAGAAGTTCATCTGGACCATTGGAGTGGTTCTGGGGCTTAGGGATGTCTGTGTAACCTGTAGTCCAAGAGGAAGCACACAGTGTAGTTCATTAAAAAGTTTCCAAAGGTGGAAAAATAGCTGAGGAATGGGCACCTGGGAATGTAATTTCATTTAGGGTGTGTGTTTCAAGGGAGAATATGACCCAGGTGTCTTATCCTCTCACAGAGAAGCAAAAGCTGAGGTAATGCAGGGTGCAGTCACCATGTGCATGACTATGCCCTGTCCCTTTGCTGGGAGCAAGCCATGCTGAATGTGACAACCTCATGAGAACTAAGAACCCTCCTCTGCCTTGTTTCCCTGCATCACCTGTTTTTGCAAGGCAGGGAGAAGAGGACCACTTTACTGCTACTTCTGCTTTCTTTCTGAGGCTTGTCATGCCAGTTGATACTAGAAAACAACTTGCCTAGATCTGGGCAGCAGTCATTTAAAAGGGAAGGGTGGCAAAGTCTAGGGAAGCCTGATGTTAAGGAGTTGAATGAGAAGGAGACAGAAACACAGGGAGCACCACAGCTGGGTTTTTTTCCTCTACAGTTTCTATGTCTGAGTGGTAAAATGATAACACAGCACACAACAAGGGTGGGTAGGCCTGATTATCTAGGAAGGAAGCTTATGCTAAAAGCCAGGATTTTGCTTAAGTACCAGTCTTCTATTGTCTGCACTGAGGTTTTCTTCTGTGCAGAACTAATTTTTAACAATACATTTCTCAAGAGCCTTCTTTTGAGTGTATTCTGAAGTGACTAGATGTGGATTTTGGGAAGCAGGGGGATTTCAGTGTCAAACATTTTAAGCTTTTCTGCAGGGGAAGTTTCTTGAAAGCCCTTTATGTGACTATTCTGGTGTACCTTTCAGCTTCTCATGCTAAAATCAAAGCACATTCACTTTGCTATCTTTAGAAACTGAAGCATGCCTGGGGGCAGAATTAACTGATTTGCAGCTGAGAGTGTTCCCAGAAGTTTGCAGTACAGAGAGATCTAGAGGTGTCTATGTGCTGTTGTAATGAATTTTATTGACCTCTTCCAGGTTGATCAAGTTCTCAAACTCAAACACAACTTTTCTGAGATTGATTTTAAGGCCATTAAATCACTCACCTTGGGCAAGGTCACAGGTATGTTATACTAAAAATATTCCTGATTCATCTGTTGTTATACTGCTGGAGTTAACCTGTGCTAGAGTCTTGGGCATTTAATAGGACTGGGGTTTTGTTTGGCTGGTTTAGCTGTAAGAGTTGGCCTGAGCATTTCAGTACTCCTGTCTGTATTTCTTGTCAATGAAAAAATTTGGCAGTTTTACTTGTTTGCACTGGTAGCAATATTAACTTCTCCCATTGCTTCCTCCAGTAAAGTGATTCATACTGCCTGTGTAGCTGCACAAAGTGGCATCTTAGCCCAGTGATATCATCTCTGGGCCATCTCTGCTTCCTAATGATAAGAACATCACTGTGAGCCTTCATTCTCTCTACCCTTTTTTACTCCCAATTCTTTTTCATTTGAATTTTGCAAGGAATATTTACATTGCATACAGTACTGTGGCCACAGTTCTGCATGCTCTATGAGTGGATCTTCTTGATCTTTACTCCTTCAACACTGCAAAGACATTACAAGACAGAGTAGAACTCCTCTATTTTGTTGTCAGGTTACTTTACATGAGTCTTATTTTTCCCCAGTAAGATTCTTACTGCTTCCTTAGTTACAGACATTTTAGTCCTTTGTTGAAATTTGGACCTTTATACCAAACCTGACATCTGTTTCACTTATTACAATTCTGTACGTGTCATTAATAGCATCCAAAGCCTGCGGGACTGGTAGCTGAACAGAAACTATAGAACAGTTAGCTGAACAGAAACTATCCTTAAGTGTCTACTTGTGCAATGTAACTGTATATGAGATTAGTGCATTTTATATCATGTTTTACTAAGTAGATTAAGGGCAGGAACTAATTTTATCCCTTAAATATATTTAATGTTAGTTCAGAATGCAGAAGTCTTTCAAGCATTTGTGGACTGATTTGGGGACCTGACACTGTTTAGATGAAGTAAGAGCTAAGCTAAAAATTTTGTCATTTTGTCAACAGTCAGCTGTAGTGCTGAAAATCTAAAAGAACATTGCTCCTCATGACCTCTACCTAAAGCTCCAGCTATAGATACCAAATTAATAAACCAAGGCTTTTCTAACCAGCAAGATGCAACATAGGACAAAGATCTTCAAACATGTAGCCAGTAAGCTGACATGGTGCAGCTCAGCTTCATGGAGAGAAACTAGATTTAGTCACAAAAATATGATTAACTTTACAAGTATAAGGTTGTTGCCAAGCCAGAAAGCCCAGATGTATCTCCAGAAGTCTGGCATTCAGTTCCACTGAGACCACAGACTTGTTTCCAGACAGCTTTTAAGGGATATATCCGTTATTTCTTTCTTGCCCCAAAGTTTATTGGGATTTTGTTTTAGTAATAATAACACTATTAGTAATAGTTCATATTCTGTAATAACACTAAAGCCATAAACTTAGCCATCCAGATGGTGAGAAATCTTAGGAATCACACAATACATCCCAGCAAGTCACTTTAATTCCAGCCTAGTCCTAGTTCTAGTTTTTTCCTCATATGTTAAGTGAATTTCCACAAATGTTTTCTCCTATGTCAGGTTTTCATTTTCCAGGTTTTATCTAACAGCTGTAGCTGTATTGAGTAGCGTCCTTGTGCCCTCACAGAATCATAAATCCCCTTGAGTCTTCTCCACTCCCAGATGAACAGTCCTAGCTCTATCAAGCTTCTCCTCACAGGAAAGATGCTCTAGTCCCTTGATCATCTTTGCATCCCCTCACTGGGCTCACTCCAGGAAGTTCATGTCTATTTTTGATTGGGAGCCCAGTACTGAACCCAGCACCCATGGGTCCAGTAGTGTTACACTCATGCAGACTATGGAGGAAGGACCGCCTTCATCTGTCTGCTGGCAATACTCTTCCCAAGGCAACCCTTTGTGCCAGGATGTCATTGGCTGCCTTTGCTGCAAGGACACATCTTTGGCTCATGGTCAGTTTTGCCATGCTGGCAAAAAAAAATAAATAAATAAACCCAATTAAAAAAAAAAAAAAAGAAAAACAAAACCGGGCCCCAAACCACAACAAAATTGACCTGCTACAAGGTCAAGAATACCACCTTGTATTGAGGAGAGCTGGACCTTCTCATTTTAGGAATGTAAAACTTACATAAGTGTGTCCATTCATAATTTATACTGTTAACATGGGTAAAATGTTGATGATAGCTTCTTTAAATGATAGCTCACCATAAGTTGAATATTGGTGACCTGAAGCAATATCCTCCAAATTCTTCCTTGTCATTGTTCAGGAGTAAAGCATAAACTTTCAGAGGCACTTAGTGCTTCATAGTAGACCAAGGCTTTCTGTAGTCTTTATTTCGGGTGCCACTGAGATGTAGGTATCTAAAAGCATTAAGTGTCTACTGAAATAGAACTGTATAAAAACTGTATAAAAAACATCTCTGTTCTACATATCCTACATATCCATGCTATACTCTTCTGAAAATTTAACTCTTCTTACTTCCTGTCACACCACTGCTGTTTTGCCTGCTCTAACAGCCCGATCCTGGCTGCTTCACCAGATGATTATGTCACCTTCTTTCTTGACTTTTCATTTCCCACTGGCTGAGAAATCTCAACAAGAGCTTCGAGCATCTAATAAAAGCTTGGAATCTCTTCCTTAACAGATTTTTTTTATGATAACCATTTTAACACTTTTGAAAATTGCATGTCCATACAATGACCAGCTTTTAAATAATAGTGCTTCCTCCCCTCCTACTACCTTACCCCATTTCACTTCCTTTAGTCAAAAGCTACTCAAACTCAGATATTTTTTTTTCTACTTTTCAAATATGCTGTATTTTCCAGTGGTTGCCCTACACCTAACTCTGAATTTGGGGAGCAGGGGGATAAAACCAAAACCAAAACCAAACCTGTTTAACACAGAGAGGGCCCACTTGGAATTCAAAACACAGGGACACTCCCTCTGCCACAGACTGCTTGAATAACCTTGGGCAAGCCATTTATGTGCAGATATAAAGGTAAGCAGGCATTTTATTCCCACTGGAACTAGTCTGAGCTTTACTATCTCTGTTCTCTATCAGTAAAGCATGGAAAATAGAACATCCCTACATCAGAGGGTGCTAGGAGGATAAAAGCATTAAAGGCTGTGAGCTGTTCAGATCCACAGTAATGGGGCCATATAGCTGCCTTAGAAAGATCAATCTAAGTATAAGTGTGGCTTTGAAGACAAGGGAGTAAAAAGAAGCAGCATTCAAGTAGCCAACAGACATTTGTGGAATTCATCCTCATAGTATCCAACAGCAATAGAAAAATATTATTATCCTGTAATTTGTTGTCATTTTTGCTTCACAGATATAGAGGCAAGACACAAAAGGACTTACCCAAAGCTTATCAGTATCAATGGGGGTTTTGCAATGGTCTTTAGTGAGTACTTGATTAAGGCCCCAGGTGGGTCATACTGTTTATGGCAAAGCCTCAGTGAAATCTTAACCAGAGTCCCAGTTCATTTACTTTAAGTACTCCTCACAGAGATCATACTGCTGTATTTAACCACATGAGCTCTATTGGCAATCTGACCTGTGAAGCTTGCTCTGCTTTGAAGAACGGATTGAACTGCATGACCTTCAGAGGTGTCTTTCAACTTAAATTATTCAACTTAAATTATTTCAACTTAATTTATCTCAGAGACATATTTGCATATGTTTAGGTCTTGTCTAGAAGAAGCTGCTATCCTAGTGGAAAATTTAACTTCTTTGTTTTGGGGTTGACCTTAAGGAATCTTTGAAAACTTTCTACAGTTCCCCAGCAAGTCTAAATCTTTCACCAGTATAGTCCCTGGAAAAATAATCACTGATGCAGAGAAGTGAACCTCTATGTCTGCATATTTGATTCTGAGCAATTTAATATATTAGCTGTGTAGTGATACCAGAGTAAAAGGGTAGTGTTGAAAGGGATTCAAGAGTATTCTGAAGTAAAAGGTTGCAAAGATTTCTTTAGCACCTATTAATGTTGACCTAATTTATTTATGTCTTCAAAGTGATGAATTAGCAGACCTCCCTACACAGGCAATGTAAAGAACTGTGCAGTCTAGCACATGATCATGATATCTTTTATCTTTAAAAGCCTGAGCTAAGTTGTAGGAATCTTTCCACTGAATCATTCAGCTTTGATATAAATTGTATGTAGAAGAAAGTTTATCTAGAAAGTCATTTATTAAAATCATTATGTAGGTGCAGTACCATTCTTATGATTTCTACAATAGCTTTTCTTATTAAAAGTTCACAAGAAGAAAATGGAATCTGTACACTGAAGAAATCACAGAGCAATTCATCCAAGAGTGGTATTATACTGGGGAGATGATAATGGGATAATTAAGTCAGAAAAACTACGTTGACATTTAGTCTGAGATACAAAAGGTTCCTTAAAGAAGAATCTTCTTCTAGAGACTTTCCATGCAAAAGATTTCTATTTTTGGGGTGGAAAGTCATTCAGTTTTTTAAGCTCACAAGGTCACAATTTGCTTGAGAAATTTAAAGTCACAGTCTCAGAATATCATGCTCTAGCATTTTAAATAACATAGCAATGGTTGCAGGAGATATTGGCTGGACTCCTGTGGTCACTGCAAAGATCTTTTTCTTTACTGCAGACTCTTCTTGCCCTAAATACTTAAATACCCCGGGAATGATCTCTTGAGTGCATTATAGGGCATCCAGTAACAAAAGTCACTGTTTTTCTCTTTGTAGCCTAGTAAAGCATTAAGAAAAATGGAAATTACTACTTACGATGAAAAAGGAGAGGCATTTAGGACCAAGATGGCAGCAGTCAAAACAAGCAATCTGGCTGCCCTAGGCATTCCAAGCAATCCGAGCTCTAAGCCAATAATACCATCATGTATCTTATCAAAAAGAGACCAAATCCGCCCAGCAATATCACCTTATGATGATAACACCATGCTTAAACACCCATTTTTTTATGATAATACTGTCTGAATAAGTGTCCACGGTCATCTACTTCTATCCAAAAATCGATTTTAGCTGTCTGCTTGTAAGGAAAGCATGTATTCTTTTGCACATCATCTCTCCATCTTCTTGCATAGTTTCTTCTTTTCTATGGATTACATTTTGAGCCCATGCAAAATCACATAGGGCTGGCTGCATTGTGACAGTTTAGGATTCAAGTGTCAAAAGCTGTGACATCTAATAAATTTCACATTGAAACTCCAAGCAGTTCTTCATTTTCAATGACAAACTGTCTTTAAGAAAACATACTAAATGCGTGTCTGAAATTATCTCAGCTAAGCCTAATGAAAGAAAAATTCTCAGATGCTCCACTTGGCATGAAATATTCAATTGCCAGCAAGCAAATCCTGGCATGCTCTGCTCATTCCTGGAAAAACTTGAGAAAAGCTACCTTTACTTTGCTCTGGCTGTCCCTTACTTTTTCAGAAGTGTCTTGGAGGTGTATTGAATGCATGGAACCTGTCTTGCATTCAGACTTGTCTTTTTCTATAAGCAAGAGCTAAACTGATTGAGCTCAATGGTCCTAATCAGCAAAATTTTCTGTGTTGTTCACTCTGCTGCTTTTGTGGCAGGCTCACACCAGGGAATGAGACTATTCCAGATACGCCTTTTTGTGGATTTGAGTCTAATCCAATATATGCTTTCCTCCCTTTCTAAATTAATGATGAGTGTAAGCAGTGTTTACTGAGGTTTTTGAAATACGTAGCATCGTATTTTTCAAGGTAACTACACAGTACCTGTTAGTCAACTCTTCTGAGATAGGTGCAGTGTGGAAACTATGAGTGTTTCACTTCAAGGTCACGGGCTGAAATCCAGTGAGAATGTCCAAGAAATAATCTTCCAGCGCTGTTCAGCACCTTAGCAAAAGGAGGTGATGGATACGCTTAAACTCTGCCCAGAATCATCTTTCTATTTCCCAGGCTTCTTTTTTTAAGAAAAACTTCAGCATGCAGAGTAAATTACCCTTTGTGCATCTACTAATGATTCACTTAGATTAATTAATTAATTAAGGCATGGACATTTAAAACAGGTAATGTCTGCTCTGACTGATGTTAAAAATAATTTTCTATTAAGGAAATCCACAGTGGGACTTTCTGAATGTAAGTGAGCACACAGGTAAACTTTGGGGTCAGATTTAAGTTTCTGAGTTACTTATATAGCTGTGACATTACAGAGAGCTTCCAGGGAGCAGCTAGAAGATCCAGCAAGAAGCCAGACCAATTTATGCACAACTCGGCAGACAAAGCTTAAAAATTACTTCCTAAATACGTGGGTAAACTTAAGTTGTGGTCAATTAACATTTGAATTACTCAAAAGACAAAAAAGATTGCCTTCTTACCCCCTACAAATAAAAATCATCCAAAGTAGCTCCATCTCCAGAACTGAGAACAGAATCACAATGCTAAAATGGCAGAAGATCAAACCAAACCATCAGCAGCAATTCAGTGTGATTTTCCAGGCCAAAGACATGGAAAGGTTGACAGTGTAACCGGGTCAGATGAAGGCCACTGACGTTTCGTATGACCTTGCTTCAACACCAACCTTGGAATTTCACCGAGTTGCTTCTTTTACTGACCTTCAAGTCATGTAGTGAAAATATCTTTTGGAAAAAGGTTTTGTCATGATTTAAAGACTTCAGTCGACAGAGTGGCTCTTACTAAGCCTTTCACAAAGATAACCATGTCATAACCACAGAATTAAACTATCTACTCAAGAATTCAGAGGGCAGCACAAGTCATCCACATCCTAATTGTGTAGGGCTCTTGTTGAGAACAGTGAAAACCCCACTTTGTGAAAGACGTAAGGCATGCACGCAAAAGCATATAATAAAGCAATCTCTACTGTGCATGTTGGAGATTTTTACCAGTGGCCTCTGAGATGGTTTTTGGTTTGTTCTTTGATTTTTTTTTTTCTTCAAATTTCAAAGCCTTTCAACAACAAATCTAGTTCTCATTCATGCAAAGCTTACTTCAATAAAAGACTCCTGGAATTGGCTCTTAATTTGACTTTTTAAAAAAGCCTTCAAAATACTGTATTTTAGACTTTTCAAACTACAGTACCATGAAAAAGGAATTCAGTATTTCTTTAGCTTTACTTTTGCACACTGAACAGGACAATTTAGATTGCCTGATGTCTAAAAGATACCAACAAATCCACCTTTTGTGTCAGAACTAAGAAAACAGGAAAGGCTGAGAGCAGGAATGTTTACAAAGGGTTTTATAAATTCAACAAAGATGGCAAATACTGTAAATCAGTCTCTTAGTTTTATATAAGTCTTCTTGCAGAAACTTGGAAACAATTCTTTGTGTATTTTATACACCCCTGCCAAAATCTCATTAAAAACCTGAATGCAGCCAATCCTACACATGTTGAGAAGAGCAAATGTGAACCTCTGAAAAGCTGCCTTTTTTTCCAGTGGAAAAGTTTCACCATTTCCTTTCCCATCTCTCTTTTTTGCAGTTATTATCAACCCAGAGGCTGTCCTTATGACAGCTCTGCAGACTGAGCATCTGTCCTGTAAGACCCCTCACACTCTACCTTGCTTTGCTGAGAAGCAGTCAAACTCTTCCACATTATACTTCCATGAAAACATTCAAACAGAATGTCTCTGCTAGTTCCTTCTGACTGCATGACATAATAGTCACAGATCATGGCACCAAAATATTGTGTGATTTGGGCTAGTTTTGATATTTCTCTGTATTTTCTTATACATAAAAGAAGTTCGTCATTCATGTAGCAATGTCAATTATAGATAAGGTCTACTTTTTTCCTAAATCTTTTTGGCTGAGATCTTGTAAAATCACTCTATTTGAATGATAGTGGAAAAATTGGACCTTATTTTGAAGTTTATGATCTTACTCATTCAAACTTTGAAGATAAACTTGAGAAGCTGAGGATCCTTATTTTCCACTGTAATTGGAAGTATTTCCAAAACTTTCAATGCTAGAAGTTTGTTGTTTTTTTTTTCATTAGCAGGTAATTTTTAATACTTTTATTAAGTTTTGATACTATATATGTGTGCATTTGGGGGATTTTTCTTGTTGGATTGACCCAGATATAAGGCACATCATGTTACAGACCTCTGAGCAATATGAATTTCAATTTCTGGAAAGTAAATAAATGTGAGCTTGAAGGAAAGAAAAGATGCCTTCACTGTCCTTCACTGACTTTCCCAAACAATCTTTGATATTAAAAATTTTGGAACTAAATAAAAAACAGCTTTGAATTGGCTTTCTCTCGTGAAATGTAAATGAAAACAGACCAACAGATAAACTAATCGTGCTTTGTCATCTTCAGGCTGGAAAAGAGCATGGAGGTATTGGGTTTGATTTTTATTTAGCTAAATAGAGGTACGGTTTTGCTTTTTATTTTATTAGTGGAATGGGGCTAGCAGAGGGAGAGCCTGACTCATAACCCTGCTTCCTAGGAACTGATTATAAAAATGTAGTAACATGATTAGGTGCATCAGGAAAGCAAGATGACTCTTGAAGAAGGGTGGAAGCCTGTATTAGCAAGCCATTCAATATTAGGCCACATGAAGCATTTTATAATAGACAATAGAGAGCAGGCTTTTTCATTAAAAGAGTGGAGATAGAATGTCTTGAAGATATGATCCATATTTGTGAAACTGATATTAATAGATGCAAAAAAAAAAGTTAAAAGAGCATGATTCCCAGGCTCCTGTGATATTTAGTGTTGCTGGTTTTACTCTTTAGTATTGTTCTTGCCATACTTAGCAGCTATGATGTGTTACATATTGTCCAGACAGTAAAGAAGCATAATCTAGATTTTTATGTCTGAGCCAACTTGATTCATTGTAAGTAGCATTATAGAGGAAGTTCTGGGAATGGGAACCTCCTGGGTCAGGCCAGGGAGAACTTGTAGGCTTCCTGAACAGTTGAAATTGGAAGAAGTAAAAGGGGTAGATAAGGAAAGAAAAAAAAATATATTTTTTTTTTAATGCTTTCCTGAAAGAGAGAATTCCCAGTGTGTTTTTCTGTTGTACTGTAGATAGTTTATCACTGGACCCTGAAGTATCAAAGGCAAATGTCTACGGTTTCACTGGCTGCCTGTCCTCTGTTCAGTACAACCACATTGCTCCCCTGAAAGCTGCCTTACGCCATCCCAGTATTGCTCCCGTGACAGTCAAAGGCTCCTTGACTGAATCCAGCTGTGCATCCATAATGGAAGCTGACGTGAACACAGTAACCACAATATATTCCTCATCAGGTATGTCTTGCCAAGAGGGGAATGGGGAATTTAAAGAATATTCTAGAGTGAGGTTTCCTTCCTTTCTGCTGTCAAGCAACTGTGATAGTATAAATATTGAAACTGGGAGAATGCCTTTTCTCTCAGAATTAGGAGTGTTGAGGATGGGTGTTAGGATTAGCCAAGGCCCCTTTAAAAGTCATTTTACTAAAACAAAGTTCCTAGATTGTCTAAAACATGCCTAGAACACACAAGTTCCCAAACCGTAGTGAAAACAGCATTCTAAATATGGTTATGCACCTGATTTGCCATTTCTGTCCACTACAGACAGATCTAGTGCTGCAGATCTCAAACAAGAATATAAATGTTACAGATTCCATATCCCACATGTGATGAAGCAATAGGAGTCATACAACAAACAAGCTGAATTTGTTCCCACCCTAGCAGACAAAAAAACTCCTTGTACAAAGCCCTTAACACATGTGCGTGACTTCCATTGAATTGTACTTTATTCTCTCAGGCTAAAGACAAGCAGCACTACTTGAGCATTACCAGTAAGATGATCCCAGTAGTTCGTATATCTTTTGCAGCCCTGAAACTATCCTCTGGGAATCTTAAGTATTTTGCATATGTGAATTTGTATGCAGAGAAGGAAACTCAGAGCAGCTGGAAGTGTTGTCACCAAATCAGGGGCAATCAAGTTGCTGCTTTAGTCACCAGTGGATGTGGGAGAATTCTTAATGACTAGAAAGGGGTAAAAATTAAGGGCTGTTTTTTGCCCCTTGACCTATGAAACCACTTTCTCTTTTCTGATAATAAAACTGCTTTAGATCATAATATGATTCCTCTGACATTTGTGCTTCCATCAAATCCCCATTTCCTGCAGCTTCTGCCTAAGATATTCAGCAGGAAACAAATGATGCTATTAGCATTCTGCATAGGGAAAAAGGCCTGATTACTCTGGAGGGTGGCTGCAGTGTGTGTGCGCTTCTTCCCACCTGCAACTTTCTTCTCAACACCCAGACTTGTTAAAGGTATCTGCTCTGGCGCACAGAAGAAACGTGTCTTGTAAATACCGAATGGGCAATGATACTGAAAACAGGAACTCTTTGCCCTGAGGTCTGTCACCTCAATGATCTAATTTTTCCGAGGAGGAGAACATGAGGCTTAGAACTGCAGGACAGAGCACAGCAGAGTGTAGCAAATTTATACTTAAATATTTAAAGCTTATGATCAGAAGCACTCTTTTGGGAAGGTTAAGCATGGTTACATCAGAAATGCAGAATTATTATAAAAGCTCATCCCTGTCTTTGCCACTTTGTGCTTTAAAATTATTTCCTCTCAATATGATGAATTGACTGACACTATTGCCTCACTGTTCACAGTGGATTTGATTAAAGACTGAATAAGATCTTTAGAACAAGTTAGTTCTGAAGACTTCATGTCTTTATATGCTATAGTAATAGCACCGGGTGGTAGATTTTTGTTAAAAAAAAATTCCAATTTGTAGCAAATTATGCTTTGTATAGATGTACTTGAGAATTGCATTTATACGTAGGAAGGACACATTTTAAGAAATAAAAAGAAGACAGAGTTAAGTATTAACTTTCAAATTTACTGCTCATATCTCAATCCATCAGTTCCCAATTTCTCATTATTGGGTGTCTGAGAAGAAAAATAGAACTTCAAAGCTAACTGTACATGTCTGTGTCAATTTTCTAATGTACAGATACAACAAAAAAGCCCTGTAGGAAATCTCTCTTTAAATGTGTGAAGAAAGCTCTCTATATTTATAACTTGAAAGCAATTGAAGTTTTTCCTTCAGAGAGGCATACATGTTGTCTTAAAGAAAGTTTCCTAGCAGATGGATATGGAATAAAATCCATTGACTCATGGCATAGTTATCCTTACACACTCTTTCTGATTAGGAAACACAAAAGGCAAGGTCACTTACTGTGTTTTGGTATTTAACAAAGACCTGCAAACAACCTTCTTCCTTGCTGAGGTTTTGATATTCTGAACTCTGTACTGATGGCATAGGTATAATAGACTTTTACTATGTTTTTTTTTTAAATATTAAAATGCTGTAAATGCCAGAGCAGATTCAGCTGCAGGAATGATGGAGTTTTGAGCGTCTGTCTACTCCAGCTGAAGAGTATTCATGCATTTAAAGAAAAAAAATGCCAAAAAATTTCACAACTCAGAAACTACACAGAAAAATTTTCTTCTGAAAGGCAGCTTAAACAGTGCATGTCCCTGTCTCAGTGTGCTAGCTGTGCTGGACCTGGTATTTCCAAACAAGTAGGAACTGGCCAAGGATGTGCCAGGAGAGCTTTGACTTTAGCACTTTTGAGATGGTAGAGTTCAGAAATCTGAGAGGAAGTTAAAAAATCAGAAAGCATGACTGCAACCCCAGAATTAAGGAGAACAACCTTTGACCTGGTCACAGAACTGCTTAGAAGAATCCCATGTGATACAGCCCTGGTGAGTAGAAGAGTTCAGGAGAGATGGTTCAAGGATCACCTCCTCCAAGATTTAGAATGGTCCATCCCGCTGAGCAGGAAATCTAGCAAAAGCATCAGGAGGCCTAGAGAGGTTGTGATGTCTTCATCCTTGGACATATTTAAAACCCAAATGGATGCACCCCTGAGAAACTTGCTGTATTGGACCCTGATTTCAGAATGGGTTTGGACTAGATGATTTCCAGAGGGTTGATTCACACTGTAATGTCATCAATTTTATCTAAAAGGACAAGGATGTCCTGTTGCAGCCTCAATATGAGACATAGTATTGCTTTTCCTTGGCTTCAGAGCTTGTGTTCCCACTGGTTATGGTTCTGTCACATGCCATCTGCTCCACTGTAAAAAAAACCCTCATCTTATCATATGCTGATTTTATTTCTCAGGCAAAACATAATTCTTAAGGCGTGTGTCTGTTGGCCTCCATTCTGAAACTGATCTCCAACATTTGTTCTGATTTTCTCAGTGCTTAAATTCTGGTATCAGCCACCAAAAAAAATAATAGTGCTTTAATAGCATTAAATGTCAGATCTTACATAATCTTTTAGGCATGAATGACATTTTACATAATTTTAAAGGTAGAAATTTGGTTTCATGTATTTTTCATAATAGTTAATAGTCTTTCAAGACTCTATTTGACTAATGCCATGCACCAGATGGAGATTTTTCTTAGTACAAGAAGACTGATGTTCAATAAATTAATTATTATCATAACTGATTTCACTGGCACCAGCTGAGGGCAGGTGAAAGTTAAATCACCTTGAGTCTAAAATAATGGCTACTCCCCTCTTCTAGTTTGTGGAAAAAAATAGGCTAACCACGCTGTCCATCTTTGACAGCCATCTTAAATTATAAAGTGTTGGGGGGGAAGGGAGTGTGACTAAATGAAAAGAGCCTAAATTATAGTTTTAATAACTCTGAGATACCGAAAAGTAAAGATTAACCTACCCATGATATACAAAGTTATGAGAACCTTGATCTAATTTTGAATTTGTCCCTAATTTGATCCTAGTCTCAAAAGCTTGAGATTAGGCTAAATAACCTTCAGATTTTTCAACCTTACCTTTTCTATGATGCTATCTGTATCTATGTGTAAAACAACAATTTTTATTCCCAGTCTAGTCCCACAAATGTAGTAAATGAGATGAAGCATTGTCACGACTATTTGTTTCTTAGCAATATCACTATAAGCACCCAAGATCCAAGCAAGGACCCTATTGTAAATAGTTCTCAACCTGAGTGGCCAAATCTGTCACTGGCAATTACTGTTCATGTTGATAATGGATGTACTGGAGGTGTTCAGCTGGGAGGCGGAAGTCCCTTTTCTGCCTGTAGCTCAGTCAATGAACTGAAGATATGGGGAACCCTGACTTTTCAGTATGGATGCATGTTGTGGTTTAAGTCCAGTCAGTAATTCAGAACCACATAGTTGCTCGCTTACTCCCTCACTTCCTCCCGCGCATTCGCAGAGGGATGGGTAGGAGAATTGAAAGAATGTAACTCCCACAGGTTGAGATAAAAGCAGTCCAGTAACTAAGGTATAACACAAACCACTGCTGCTACCACCAATAACAATAATGATAAGGGAAATAACAAGGGAATGGAATACAACTGCTCACCACCTGTCGACCGATACCCAGCCCAACCCAAGCAGTGACCTAGCCCTTCCAGGTAACTGCCTCCAGTTTATATAGTGGGCATGATGTGCTGTGGTATGGAATACCTCTTTGGCTGGTTTGGGTCAGGTGTCCTGTCTCTACTTCCTCTCGGCTTCCCTTCCTCCCTGGCAGAGCATGAGACTCAGAAAGTCATTGGTCAGACTTAACATTACTGAGCAACAACTGAAAACATTGGTGCTATCAGCACTGTTTCCAGGCCAAAAATAAAAAACACAGCACTGCACCAGCTGCTGAGGAGAAAAATGACTGCTACGGCTGAACCCAGGACAATGCGTTTGTTGTGAAATCCTTGCAAGCCTAAAACTAGCAGTAGCATTTCACTGTTTAAAACATGAAAGCCTCTTTGAGGCTGGTGCCTTCTGCACATCTTTGGGGCTGGTATCGGTGATACAGTGCTCCCTTTAAGAACCTAAATAGCCCAAAGCCACCATTATTACAAACTCAGCACCTCCTGATACACAAATATAATATTGTTGCTTATTTCAATTAAAAAACATCTTCTTCAATAATGAGATACCAAAATGTGGCTGCATCAGCTACTAAGGCAAGGATGCTCAATTACAATAAACTTTGCTCTCAGTTAGGCTTCCACCCTTTGCATCAGAAAGATCAGTTTGGCAAAACAGTGTAATATACTGCAATGACAGTCATCTGTAACTCCCATATACATTCTGTGTATGATAGCCTGGAGGCTTGTAAAGGGGAGAAACACAGATAGGAATCTCATCAAAGGAGGATAGGCTGAAAGGAAAAAAACCTGAAGGTTCAGAAAAGCTGGATTCAAGTAGCAATAGAAAACAGCATTTTTAAAAACATGCAGGACACTGTCATAACTCCATTAACTTCAGGGAGGGCTTGATATCTCAGGGCTGGATCTGGGTTTGAAATGGTCAGAATGTAGACTGTTTGGCCCAGTGTTTCAACAGTAGTAATTTATAGATAAGGTACAAGATCACTACAACATCAAGGAGCTTTTAATATAGGAATTAATTTCTGAGTCCTCTCTGTTTTGAATCCAATTTGACCACTGCATTTCTGCAACAGAAAGAAGAACATCACTTCCAAGAAGCTGTCCCAGTCAGAGACTGTTTCTCTGCTTTATGGAATTAAATTCAACACATCTTCATCTACAAACATAGGTCAGGTCTATATCTGTCTGCCATGCAGTCTTCCTTTCCTTTTGCTTCTTTCCGATATTGTTTCTTAGGTTAAAAAAAAAAAAAAAAAAGTAGAAAAAAAGCTCTGACTGAGGAAGTCTCCCAGTGGGCTATTTCATTCAAATGTCTCTCTGATTCTTCTACTGATAAACTGAAACAACACTTTCAGATATTAGTGTGAGCCTTTCTGTTTCCTTTTAAGTACACCTTTAGCAGAATTTGTTCCTGAAGATGAAGAAGGAAATTGTCCCGCAATCTCACTTTTTCAGAGAGCTTTCTGGTTTTGTTCTGCAAACCCCCAAATCATATCTTTTGAAAACAGATCAGAATTCATGAGGGTAAGTGGATGCTTTTATTTAAGCCACAGAGAAAATTAATATAATTGATACAGAAAATAAGTCCTGTTTTGTTTAACCAACTGCAGATCCCTTTGGGAAAACAGATGAAAGAGAGCCTCTCACCAATGCAGTCAGAAGTGATTCAGCTGTGATTGGAGGTAACTTCCTTTTTAAAATGACAATTGAAAAATAATCCAATTCAAGGTTTTTGTAGTCTCTTTCAGGTCTAGTAGTTGGTGTGTTTATTAACACAAATCTGTATTAAGATAGGCACCTGCATTATGGGTAAAGCCAATAGTGACAGTACATGATGTTGGGCATCACCCAAAAAGTAATTATGGATTCTCAAGAGCATGAGCCTTCTAAAATATAACCATATAGTCAGTCTATCTGCCTGCTTGAGCAGGGGATTTGGACAAGATGACCTCCAGAGGTCCCTTGCAATTTCAACCAATCTCTCATTCCATGTAAGTCTGTGACCTAAAACCCAGCTAATTCGTAATTGTTCTACACACTACTCTGATGAGAGTATCAATACAGCATTCAAATTCACATTCCTGTATTTCTTGAGCTCTCTTTTTTCCAAACTGGTGGTGTAGTGGAACTTGCTAGGTTATATAGAAGCATTTATATACTACAGAAAATTGTCTTCATAGCTTCATGTATGGTTTTCATTTTCCTTGAATAACCTGCAAGGCAATTTATCTCTGTTTATTTTATAGGATGCCCTGTAGGGATCTGCCTTTGATAATATCTAGAAGCTATAAACCAAAGTACAAGACTTATGCAAGGTTTCCAGAAATAACACAAAAGAAAATATGACAGATCAGGAATCTGAATGAGCATACAGATCTGTTTGTTTTGTTTTTTTTAAAACGAACCCACTGATCCAGCTTTGCTTCCTGTAAAAGCAGAATTTGTCTGAAATTAGAAGTCCATTGCATCAATGCTTGCTGTTTAAGTCTTACTTAAGATGACAAAATAGAAATAAAAGCTACCAGGGAGTATGGGATAGAGACAGAATATTATCTACAGACTCACATGAGTGATCTAGCATATCCACTAGCTGTTGTGCATTGCTAATGTATTTTTGAGGTGACTGGGGGGTTTGTTTTGGTTTTAATTTTCACTCTTTCTACCCTTCCTTTTTTTACCCTGTCCAGGTGTAATAGCAGTCGTGATATTCATCATCTTTTGCATCATTGCCATCATGAGCAGATTTCTCTATCAGCACAAACAAGCACATCGAAGTAGCCAAGCAAAGGAGAAGGAATACCCGGAACACCTTGAGAGCTCTTTTAAAGCTGACATTGACTTGCAGAACACAGTGAGCGAGTGCAAACGGGAATATTTCATCTGATGGACAATGAAATTTCTTCTTACTTTCACTCTTCTAACCTTCCTTCCTTTATTCCTTGCTCTCTTTTTGTAATCTTTTCTTTTTTTTTTGAACCCTCATTTTTTGCTAACTCCTTTTTCATTTGGAAAAGACTGCCCTGCACAGCAAACACTGACAACACAGTGCCTCAGTCTGCACAAGACCCTGGCAGTCACAGTTTACTCCTGCAGCTCAAGAGACCTGTTAACTCACCCTACACAAAGTAAGATCCACATGCACATCTGGTTTCTGCTGTGGGTTCCTGGTTGTTTCAAAGTCCCTTCATTTATTTCTGTTTTTCTCTGGAGCCATTTAATTCACCATTTTTACACTAGAGCTGAACTATGTAAAGTAGAGATAAACTAGCTAAACACACAGCTCTGCAGATACTGGGACAGGATAGAGGGAAAGAATGAGTCCAAACTGCCTGATTTATTTTACAGGCTAATTTACAACAATCATAAAGAACTGGCCAAATTCTCAAACAATATGTTTTGATACATATATCTATTGATTTCAGTGATGTTGCATTAATTTATACCAGTTGAGAAGCTGGTATGAGGTAAGGAAAAATAAAACCATCCTCATTAAGGTCCTTCCCACAACCTCCTGTCCTTTTACTGTAACTTTTAGGCTTATTAGTACTTTTTTCAACAATATATGTATCAACAATAAATGTCACTCCCATGCACTTCTTTCACCTCCATCTCATAAGGCTGGCTATGTAGACCCAACATACTATAGCGTAACTCTAGCTGAAGCATGAATAGTAGCTCGAATCTCGAAGGGTTTTAGGAAGCTGCTAGGATTTAGGTGCTCTATATTTGTCTGAAATGTTAGAAATGCAGCATATATCTGTTCATGCCATATGGAGGTTTATCACATGCTGAGGTTAAATACCGTTGCCACTGTGGCAAAAAAGTACATAGACAAGAAAAAAACAAAAATATTTTAATCTTAAACATGAGTCGCATTTTCTGCCAGTTCTAAAACAGAAAATAAATAAAATCTAACTACTTAACTTCCCCTCCAAACTACCTGAAAGATTGATTGGTATTTCATGTTTGTAGAAATTGGAATATCTTCTCCATAGCTAAATAAAGAGAGGTCTGATGTCACATCTAAAAAGGTTAATATTTAATCAACCCCGTTTACAAGGAAGAACATTAGGGAAGCAAGTTTAAAAAGATCCCAAATACTCTATGTTGAACTAATCTATCTTTTCTCCTGTTTTTCTAAAGTCTTCTGTCCTTTCCTGATTGGGAACAATACTGAAGACTCAAATCCTGCCCATTTTACTTGTGCTGCTTGTCTTCTGTGTGAAGCTAAAAATCCCTTCTTTTCAGTCACAAACATCCTAAGGGATTTTTCACACCCTGCTTGTGTCTGTGTGGCACACTTCTTTCTCAGGGCTTCTGAAGGGTATGTAGAATTTGCTGTTAAACATGAAAGTTTCTGAAAGGAGTTAATCCAATGGCCAAGACAAAAAAGAGAAAATATTTCTCTCAATAGTCTTAATAAGAATTAATTCAAGACAATTAATTGTGCATCTGAATCTATTTCTTTGCCCCTTACACCCTTCTGAAGTCATCCCGGGGTTTCCACATGGCAACCTTTTTTACATGGATTAAAATCGGAGAAGCACAGTATGAGGTAATTACCCACAGCAAACCAGGAATGAGGTTACAGATGCAGCAGGTGCTATTTTTCCAGGCAGTGCATCTCAAAGGTAGCTGGTTATTTTTTGATGGGAGGAGGGGACGGGCAAAGAGGAATAAATAAATGGCCATTTGGATATGATGATTCTTCATTTCTTTTGGAAGACTTTATGAGAAGAGGCGTCTGGTGAAGAGAATGCAATCTTAGAATGGTAATTGTTCTCATGTGCAGAGGAATATGTGAAGCCAGCCCCATAACCAGAACTCTTAACTAAGCAATTTTATAAAGCCTTATATATCAAAATTAGTATTGGTGCCATTCTTCCTAGACAGTGGTTTAACAGCAGCTCTTTTGCCTCACGATGGCATGATACATAGCTACTTGAGAGTGTTTTTGCATGATGCAATGTTTAACAATGGACTCACTAGCTGTGTTCCCTTTATGCTGCTTGATTTTTTATAGTAACATCCTGGCAAAGTAATTCTTTTCTCCTTCATTTCTTCCTTCCCCCCACATAAAGCTGCTTTGTTTGGCATGGTGGGAAGGGAGGAATAAGCAAGCACATGGGCTCCTCTACCCATGTTTGAGTCATCTTATCTGAAACAGCCTCTGTATGACACATCTCTGAAGTCCTAATGTACTTCATTGGCTTTATCGAGAATGGAGTAATAAGAAGGGGAAAGCCATAGCCAAACTAACAGATACAGATTATCCTTCTGCTTTCATATGTGTTAGTTTCCAGAAATAAAATTACTACAAAGTGCAACAATAAAGGGCAAAGTAGCTCTAGCTGGGGAGTAGCTGGAAAAGGGAGACTGAACAATGAAGCAGAATCCTTTCATTTCTCAAATGACTAAATTACTTTCAGACATCTTGGGCCTAATTCTGCAAGACACTGGGCTTTCTCTAGGAGGATCAAGTTCCCATCACCAACTGTAGGTATTGTATTGCTGCACACATTTCAGATAGAGCTCAGTGGCTCAGTCCTAGGCCAGAGAGCAGGTGTAGTGGCATGCTGGGTGCAAGCTCAGACCTGGCAAAACAGTTTAAGTGATCTGTTTGTCCACGTTTCCTTATGGTCATTTAATATAGCCCAGGCTGGTAAAGCTCCTTGAAAATTTAGCTACATTGTTGTGTCTCTGTAAAAAGAAAGAACTGCACATACTTACGTTAGGCACTGGAAATTCTTGTTTACCAGAAGATACTTGGACAGTAACAGCCATGCTTTTAAAGACATTTAGTCATGCAGAGTCTGAGTTGGATACCTCAAAGGACTGTCTGAGAATCCTGGTGTCTGGCTATAGGAAACAATTGAAGGCTTTCTGTCAGAAAGCTAAATTCCACTAACTTTCACTAAGGCATATGCTGCACCTGAGTGAAGTCTGGACTTTCAAAGGAATTTATACTCCTAAGGATGTAGACCAATGCTTAAGTGACTAAACAAGATGAACACTTGACTCTAATTAATTTCGGCTGGGTTTCTGCTTCTGTCTTGCTGTGAAATGTTTTAAAATACTACAAGACATTTAAATACCTTTGGAAATTGAGTCCCATTTCCCTTTTGGAAATAAAATATTGGTCCTAAGTAAGTCACCTGTGTAATTTGCAGTAAGTATTTCATCTGTCCTTATTTACTCACTAGAGACAAGACTGAGTATTTTGAGTAAACTTTTAGCACATACACTTCCTCTTATTTTTCTTGTTCTTGCAGTGGCACAACACTTAGGACATATCTGCGGTGAAAACAAAGACAAACAGCAGACAGGCTTTTTACTCATAATGGCTAAACCAGGTTTCTCATGTGGATGAAGGTACCTGTGAAAACAAGCCATTTAGGCTGATAACAAATGTTACCCAATTGTGCTCAGTCATGAGACTCCCCTGACATTTAAGTTAAAACCAATAGCCAAAAGGCAAACACGAGATGATTTCTCTCTGCTTTATTTTGACCTGATGTAGCCAGACTTAACCCATCCTTTTTAGCAATTGCTCAGTTTTTACAGCGTAAATCAAATCCTTATTTTAATTAGATGCTTGTCTATATTAGAATATAGCTGATCACATATTTAGCACATTAGGGAGGAGCAATCAAGACATCATATAGTTTCACAATGGTGAGGGGATATGAATCTTCTTCTAATGAAGTCGGCTATCGATTTTGCTGAACATAAGATTGAATCCTAGACCTATAAAAGCATTTGAAGTTTACTTTTATCTGAGTCCTTTGGGTTTGTTTCATTTTGAATTTGGTTTTACAAGGTACCTGTTTTACGCTTGTCATCCAGTCCTGTTCTGTGGTCAGTGAGGACAGGGAAAATACCTCAGATATCCTTGAAGATAAAATTAATCACTCTCTACAGGTGCATTTTTCTCTCCATTGATTATAGAGTCAGGGTAGGCTCCTGGCAACAGGTTAGCTACTTCTAGCAGAATTTGCCTACATAAAGGAATTTTACACTAGTCTTGCAGCTCCAGTAGACACATCTGCACAGGTCTTAAAAGAGACTTTGTTTTTATTGAGATGCTAGCTGGGATAAAGGGTGGACACCACCTAGCATCTAAAATTACAGTAGACATCTCTGCTTAGGAAATATATGCTTCTATTTATAGCCGAATACATGAGAAAAAAGCACCCATTTGAGTTTGTGGCCATCCTATCAGTAACCTGTGGGGCATGGGAGAGGACAGCTCTCCTTCCAGTCTATTCCAGATCCAAGATCTGAAATCTATTCATCGCCTCAAGTGGGAGCATTGGCAGATAGTATATATTTAGACAAATCTACACAGATTCCATAATCTAAACCTAACTCAGCTTCCTAAAATGCCTTTCTAGCCCTATGTGTCTTGCACCATTTGAGAAGATATAGAATATCTCTGCAGCTCCAGTAAAGATGCAAGTCTTCAGTCTGCCGTGTCTTGCATCTGGTGGCCCTAAGCCTTGCTTGTCTGATACCTGTTGGCTTTTCAAATTACAGTAATCGCTCATCCAGAACCCCAAAGTTTTCTCTGAGATGAATCACTGAAAAAATCCCATCTTCAGAACAAAATCAGCCTTCCTTTTCTATTAGTGTAAGCCAATCAGTTGAAGTGTGTGTTTCACCTCAGCTTAACAAGAGTGTAACAGGAGGCAGAATTTGACCCCTTTGTGGTCCACCACCTCATGCCATTATTGTTTGTTGCTGTCACCTACACAAAGCTTACACTAAAGAAGACCAGTTTCAGTTATTTTCTGCACTGTCAGCTTTTCACAGACACAAAGGGATTTGGGGTTTTTGCTTTATTTTTTAAACTTATTGTTCAGAAAGTAACACTTTGTAAAAGATTTGCACAAAAGCCTTGCAAGGCTAAGAGAAGTGCTATTTCAAAGTTTTCATGCATTTTTGTAATGCCTACAGTTACATCCCTGCCAAACCAAGGGTCTTATCCATTGTTTTGAGATTGATGGGAGGCCTCTTGGTTGACTATAGTTAGGGCTGCACCATGCCCTTGGGAGGTTTGGGGGGTTTTCTTCACAAGTTACAAAGCTTCAAAGCATGATTTTTTCCTTTTGGTTCTGCACTTTACTGCACTTCCTTTCCCAGTGAGAAGTTCTCCATGTCCCCTTTTGGTGTAGGCATCCCCATATTCCATGCTCCTTTTGTACATGAAATTCTAAAACCACTCTTCTTTTGGGTCTGAAATAACTTTGTTTATTTTAAGTCATGCATATAGGATATTTGGATATTTCTATGTATTGGTACTTAATTTTTGTGATCTTTTGCACTAATTTACTCTGTCAAATATAAAAACTGAAAAAAAAAAGCACACTTTCTGGTGAACTGTTGTAATTTGTAAGCTCTTTGTTTGTTGTTTGTAGTGTACTGAGTCTACAAGCCGAGCTAAGGAAGGATTAAGGCAACAGTTTGTGTTGACAGTGTCACTCTATATGTAGCTCATCTCTGTTTTCTTCTCTTCTTTATTTTTGACATGTGCTGCTATCAAATTGGTGGTAGGAAGCAGAGGATCTTGTGTTACAATTCTAATTAAGATTATTCAGTCGCAGAAACCAGGAATTCAAAAAAAATTGCATAATTTTCAAAGGGACACCCAGGTATTCTACTAGAAGGGAGACTGCACTCCACCATGGAGGAGATGTAGTGGCCTGCAAGTGGTGACCTGTAAGGGGAAATGGGAACATGAACTCTGCAAATTGCAAATATGATGACGCAGTGGAAGAGGCAAAAGCTCTCAGAAAATTTATGCTGTTGGAAACCAGGCGTGGTAACCATAAGGTGGGTATGAGGGTTTTAAGACTTTTTCTACAGCTCACTTTTGCCATTGAGTGAGTTACTGGTTAGCCTGCCAAAACATAGCCTTAATTGTCCTGATGGCTTGTAAAGTATAAGAGATGTACTTCAAACATGGGAGAGGATTTCAAACCTATGCCTGATGCTAATCTGAATCTCTCCAGTTAGAATCTCCCTGATACCCCCAAAAAAATTGGGGGTGATTTCCCTCAAACAATCGTAACATTTAATGAAATGTTGGGTACAACAAGTGATCCAAAGAATGGTGTTTGCTTAGAAACTCTCCTCTTCCCATCCCTCCCTCACTTAGTATGCTTGTGGCAGCTTTTTTCAAAACTACTGAGTGCTGTTTGCATTATAACATTTGCTTCTTGATATGCTGGTCATTACTCTCCTCATGGATTTCAATCCCACAACCCTCAAAAGTCTGTCTGATAGGGTTTCTGCATGGGAAATTACTCACTTTTGCATGCCATTGTAGTTCTTTCTTGCATCATTTAGGCAAACCATTTTCTGATGCGTTTTGTCATTGCTGACCATGCTGAGCAGATGTATCTATCATTAAGAAAGAAAACTGATTGCTTCTGAGGTAAAGCTTAGATACAGGCAGTCACAGCCTCACATTTCATTCACGACACAGAGGAATATTCTGATACCCAAGCTCGCTCTATGAAATTCCAGATAAGGTTAGGAGAGCAAGCAGGTACATGATTTTTCAGGCATCCAACCATAAAAATATTTGCTTTGTAAGTTTTGCAAATTAAATATTTTACATAGACCGTTGTATTGAGAAGCTAAACACTATACTACCAGATCTACTTTGAAACTCACTTTGTGAAAGAAACAGAGAGAGCTTCAGACCTGGCTGTAATCCTGTTGAGGTCAATGTAAATACATCACAGATGAATTTAGCCTTGGATTGCCCTAGGCAAGGGCAGTGATGATCTCCTGCAAACTGGGGCTGACATGTACGAATTCAAGGCAGGACCTTATAATCATCATCCCCGACTGCTGTCAACAAGAGTTGCAATCACTTCAATTGTGTGTGTCTTCTAGCAGAACTGTCGGTAAAACTTGAGAATAAGTCTTATGAGGAACCACTGAGAGAACTGGGGTTTTTTAGTCTTGAGAAGAAAAGGCTCAGGGGGAAACTTACTGCTCTCACAACTACCTGACAGGAGGATGTAGTGAGGTGGGGGCCGGTCTTTTCTCCCAAGTAATAATCAAAAGGACAAGAGGTAACAGCCTCAAGCTGTGCCAGGGGATGTTTAGATTGGATATTAGGAAATATTTCCTCAAGGAGATGGTGATCAGGTATTGGAACAGGCTGCCCAGGAAAGTGGTGGAGTCACCATCCCTAAAAGTGTTCAAAAATGGTGTAGCTGCCCTCAGTGACATGTTTTAGTGGTGGACTTGGCAGTCTGGGGGTAATGGTTGGACTTGATGATCTTAAAGGTCTTTTCCAACCTAGTTGATTCTATAATTGTGATTCTATAAAGCAATGAACTTCATCTCCACTTAACCATGACATGACATAAGTCACCTTCAGGAGTTTCTGGAAATGTGTGCAGGGGGAAGGATAGTCTGTGGAGGTGTGTTGCCAACCAACATGTGAGCCTACCCACTGATTTTGGAAGGACGTTATGGGATTTTAATGGAATCCAACCCGGATGGACTGTGGTAAACTGTATCGTATTTGAAAAATGAAGGTGCCCTAAAATCAGAAAAAAAAAAAAAAAAATAGAAAAAGAGAAGCTTCCCAGGCTGTGAAATCTGAGATTAAATATTTGTAATAAAAAAAATGGCTCTGTCTACAGATGAGCCCTTCATCATTCATTTTACTTTATTCTACTCAAATTATGTTAAATAAATCTCTCAGAACACTGCTCATTTCAGTAGCAAAGCAAAAAAAAAAAAACTTTTTGTTTTTTTCTTTTAGTGGTCTGTTCAAGGATAATGCAAGGGTCTCTCAGTTACAGTAAAAAGCAAAATGGAGATTTAGATTATTCCCCTTTCACTATCTGGTTTTCTGAAGAGAATTCCACAGGACGTTGCCTCAGTCCAAGTCAGTTTTGTAGACAATGTAACATGTCTTCACTGTTCTGGGATTGAAAAAAATTAGCCTTAGCTTCTTTTGTTTTCTATGGTTACTGTTGTACAGAAGAAAGACTTAAACTGTAAGTAATGTATATTTAATAAAAAGAGACTTTTTGTATGATTTTGTGTGGAAGACAAATGCCTCCTCTTGTGTTTTTATTTTGTCTTCTTGCTGAGTGGACATTAAAAAGTGCTGATTATGGGAAAACTGATTTTCAGGCATTTATATGTTAACTCTAAGCCAGCAGATCTGACTCGATATTAATAAAAGATGAAGTGCCCACAACCTGGATTGATTTCAGCTATGGCTAAAAGTTATTTTTAGAGGATATCTGGTCGACACCTACATCCCTGATATAACTGATTAATGCTGGTTTGCAGCACCTATCCAAAAGCCTTAAGGGGTTAAAAGTCATGTGTGCAAATGTCCTTTAGTTCTGGTTAGAAAACATGCCTAGTCATAACTTTCCCGGTATCCATGCACACATACATGTGCATGCACACTAATACTGTTTCCCCAGCCTGCCATGGATAAACAAGCATGTCCTGCCTCATCCATGTATTCCCTCATGGAACAACCACTGATTATCTTTTTCCTTCTCCATGGAAACTGAGCACATAAATCTCTTAGTCTCCTCTGAAAATCAGTCTTTGATACTATCGACCAAGGGTCAGTAAACACTGACTTAGAAAATAGCAGTTCTACTAAGTACAGAGGAGATTTTTTTTTAAAGAGTTTCGCATGCTTGAATTCAGTACAATCCTCATTCTAACCTTTCAGTGCATAGACATTCTGTTTCAATCATCCAAAGGCTTTTATATTAGCAAAGGAGCTGTGGGTCTCATTATCTTAGGAACTTCTCTATAAGTCTTATTTTTCCCCTTAATTTCTGGACAGACTGCCAACCAGAAGGCAGGGTTAACAAGTGTTTATAGTCCTGCATGGAGGTATGCTATCTGGCAGGACAGCTCTGCAGTACCTACCTTGGGTTCTGCAGGCAACATTGCACAAGTGCCCATCTCACAGGGCTGATCCAACCTACTACAGGTTTCCCAGTCCTCAACCAGCTATGCAGTATGCAGACACAAAGCCATCTTACCCATCATCACCCTCCTAGTGTGCCTTTGTTCCTGATATCACTTGACTTAGCAGAAACTTCAAGTTACAATGAATTCCACATCAAGTTACTTTTCTCAGGAAAAGATGAAGAAGGAAGAGCAATACCAATATAAATCTTACAGCCTTCTACTTTCATAGTTAATAGAGCAGGAACAGTAACCTTATGAAGTCCTTTAAGTACTGACTCCTACAATTTTGTTTTTAATCCAACCCTTGGTAATTAAGTTTGTATGGCTTACAGTCTGGAATGTCACTGTGACTTGTTTTCTGAGTGCAGAGGGATATCATTTTTATTTTCCTCTTGTTTAGCACTTTTGGTGCCTGCTTTTGCCTACTCCATGACTTTTCCTTTTTTTAATTCATTATGGTTCTTTCTGTCTGAACTCTTGTGTGATGAGTTACTGTTCAGAAGGCTGCATTAAACAATTTCACTAGTGTACTGGAAATGCATATGTCTATTTGATGGCCTGGCAAAACATCATTAATCACAGTTTAGGACTAGTTAGTAAGTTTCGGAGGAGTGGGACAAGACACCATGCTGCATTGCCATCAAATTTCCCTTTTCCTCAGCAACTGCTGTAATTTTCTATGCAGCAGAATTCAACAAAACAAAAAACAAACAAAAAACAAACAAACAAAAAAAAAACAAAACAAAAACCAAAAAACCAAACAAACAAACAAAAAACCAAAAAAAAACACACACCTTTTTTTTGCAGCATCCACAGGAGCAACAAAAGTTTCATTGAAAGCTTAAGTCCTTCAACCAAAACCCATTGACACCTATATATAGGCAAATATCATTAAGAGAGCACTGCTGTGAAAGAAATGCAGGAGAACACTGCTGTAGTTAGCTGTGGTATTTTTTGGCTTTTTCCCCACAGCATGAGTACTGGGCTGCTGCAGTCAGTGATGATTTTTCTATACCTGTTAGCCTAGCAAGAAATCATAAAAAGCAGCCATACAAGGTCATATTGTTCCTCCAGCCTCCCATGGTGGTGATGCCTGTATTTAACTCTTCTTAGCCTGAGATCACTGCTAGCTTTTTCTCAAAGCCTAAGCTAAATAGCCTTTGCTTCAATTAGCCTTTGCTTCAATTTAAGGCCATTACAGCCCACCTCATTCCTAAGGGAATGGAAAGAACAACTCAATCCCTTCCTGTCATCTCTTTTTAATAGCCCTTTTTCTCTTTTTAACAGCTATATTATCTCTCCAGCTTCCCACACACTTCAACCTTCCTTGTTTTCAGACAAACCAATCCCACTTCCCTTACACCTTTTCTTGCATTTTTCTAAACCTATACAATCACAGAAAACAGACTAATAAGAACTTGATGTTTAGTTTTACCATCTGGGGTGTCAGAATTCACTGTAGCATAATTAATCTACAGAAGATTACTTTTTTCCTCCCCAAAATTTATTTTCCTCAGCCCTAATTCATGCACCCATCTACAACAAATGTCATCAGAACTCTGCAGTGAATGTGGTCCAAGCCATGCTGCAAAAACCAAAACACTCACGGGACACCAATAGTATGATCTAGCATCTACTACTACCAGTTCACACACAGCAAGTATTACTGTGTGGCAAGAAATCTAATTGTGTGATGGATTACAGTGCTTCTACTTCATTAGGAGGTACAAAGGGGTTGCCAGTTGTCCAAAAGACCAGTTCTTAGTTCATTCCTACTTAGCAAGGTTTCGGGCAATGAGAAATTAGGAACTGACAGGTCTGGCAGAAGATCTCTGCTTTATATTTCTCTTAGTAAGGAAACCATATATAAGTACAAGGTAGCTGCTGAATCTCTGCCATTGCTAAGGTACAGCTACAGAGAAAAGAAAAATCTTTAATGTGGCAGTGAAGTGGATATTTTGTGTGTTACAAGCTTCATCATAAAATTATGTGTAATAAACAGGAAAGAGCAGGAAATGAACAGGATCTGATAGAGCATGTGGATGATGAATGTAAGAAAGGCAACAAGCTGCTACGTAACAAATGAAAGATTCAGCATGAAATAAATAGTTCAGCTTCAATAGCCTAAGTTAGCAGTCTGCTAGCAAGTTTATGTTTAAATGAAGCATTTTTTCCTGAATGAAGGATTGTGTACTTGAGCAGAGTATTGGCCTTAGGGTAAGAATATGTGAAACATACTATGTACGTTTTAGTTCCATGTGGACATCAGTGGTAGGTGGTGGGCCTAGGAGCTGATGCCTAAAATATACTTCCACTGACTAGTGCTGGAGATTGGGTGAGAGAAAATAGCTGGCAGCTGAGGAATTTGCTATTTCTTTTAAATTTTAGATTCCACCCTAAGTCTTGCTAACGACCTTCTATTCTTTAAGGCCATCCCTCACCTGAGTTTGGTCAGGGAGTGAGAGAGAACTCAGGAGAGAAACTGTTCCTCTCAGTCATAATAAGTCACTGTAAATAGTAACACAGACAGGACTGCAGGACTTCTCTGCCCCAGGGTATATCTGAACCCATATATGTGTGTTGTCTTCCATGGGTAGGATATGCCTGAATTTTACACGAAAGACTGATAAAGACCCACAATTAAGGCATGTTTGCAAGTTATATACAAACACACACACACAGAATTCCCTGTTCACACCAAGTATAGTTAAGGACTAGGCTGTACCTTTCAAGCAGTTCCTCTGCTCATGCCTCTGCCTCATAGGGTAATGCAAAAATCTCCATTAGTTCACCCTGTCCTCCTAAAAGCCTGCAAGCTGATGTGAAAACAGAAAGACACCAGCTTCTTATAGGGAGCAGACCGTTTAAAAAGCAATAGAGAAAACACATTGTTGCAGCCTTGTCTCCCCCACCAACACTGCCAAGAATTCAGTAAATACTGCAATAATAAAGATATTGCAGAAGGAAAGGATTTTTATTTTTCATTTCAAAAGCAGATTGCTGTGCAGGACTCTTACAGTCTGATCCAGAGGCTCCTTCTCAGCATCACCAAGTTGAAAAAAATGTACCCAAAAAGGAAAGGCTAGTAAAGGAACTCCATCTATCAGTGGAGGCAGACAATGGTCCTGGGCTCTGAAACCCAGCACATCACTTTGGGAAACGACTATGAGAAATAAAAACAATCAGTCACTCCTCAGGTTCAATATTGGTTTATATATGCATACTTGTCCATGTACATATACACAGATAAAATACATACACCTAAGTATGCATGTGTATATATATTCATGTATATATAAATATATATATTTACATATATGTAAGCCCCCCTCTTGTGTCAGGTTTCCACTTTCCAGCCAGTGAAAAGCCCCCTGATCCCTATTTTCATGGAATAAGATTCCTTCCTTCATAGCTAGAGTACCTCAGTTTGCTGAGGCCAAAGAAGTGCTTCTTGTCTCTTATCCCATGAAATATTTAAAAGCTAAATTCCCCTGTGTCATGGTTTAAATCCAGTCAGGCAATTCGTTCACTCACTCCCCCCCTTCTTTCCCTCCCCCTACTCCTGGAGGGACGGAGAGGAGAATCAAAAAGAATGCAACTCCCACGGGTTGAGATAAGAACAGTTTAGTAACTAAGGTATAACACAGATCACTACTGCTACCACCAATGATAATAATGATAAAGGAAATAACAAGGGAAGAGAATACAACACCTCAGCACCAGCTGACCGATAACTCGCCCCCCAAGCCCGACCAAGCACCGACCTATACCTCCTCCAACCCTGCAGTCTCCCAGCCCTTCCGGCTAACTCCCAGTTACATCCTGGGCATGACGTGCTGTGGTATGGAATAGCTCTTTGGTCAGTTTGGGTCAGGTGTCCTGTCTCTGCTTCCTCCCGGCTTCCCCTCCTCCCTGGCAGAGCATGAGGCTCACAAAGTCCTTGGCCAAACCAAAACATCGCTATCAGTTCTCTTCCCAGGCCGAAAGTCAAAACACAGCACTGCACCGGCTACCAAGAAGGAGAAACATGACTGCTGCTGCTGAACTCAGGACACACTGGCTGACCGGCGCTAAATACTCACAAGGCTCAGGCATTTGGGAGCAGAGCTC